TTGATAGCCGCCTGAGCCGCGCCGGGTCCCACCAGCAGGTCCACGCATTCCACGCAGAAACACCTAGAAGGGGCCGGAGAGAAGACGTCACCAACCGCAGAGCCACGGACTACTCTCCAATGTCCTTCCTGGCCAGGGCGGACCGAGGACTACCGGAGCCCACCAAAGAGAAGGAGGAGCAAAGCTTGGGTGTGCCAAAATGCTATATATGGGGTGCGGTTTAGAGGGGCAACACTGTCCTTGTACCCCCAAAACCAGAGCTGCCAGAGCTTTAAGTAATGCCAGCACCGGCGCTGCAAAGCCACTGAACAATAGGCCACCAACACAGGCTCCTCCCCCTGATTCTCCGCCATTGGATAGAATGCACGTCTGTAGGAGGAATACCCAGCATGCAATGTTCTGCTTCTCGTAGTCATGGAAACCAACACCCATCAGTTGTGTGGCTGGAGACATTGGACCGACATATCTCTACTGTCCTGGAGAGCATTGGCCCCCCCTGCTATGTACCACGTACCCCGGCCACGTGACCGCACAACGCTGCAGTCTCCTAGCAACTAGGAGGCGGAGCTTTATGATGTGTATTATATTGTATGGCCGGTACACATCATACAGATCCACCTCTTCAACAGTACAGGACCGCCCACCAAAGTCCTTTCTAATGCCATTTCTGCCCTATATACCCGGGGGGGCCCATTGGAGGATCCTCCGGTGGGGCAGGTGGAAGTAGCGGTGGTGCGCTGCGTGAAGGGGCCCCCGGTGGGGAAGAATTAGATCCTCTGTGTCCCGGACAGGAAGTGAGGGGAACCTGACGGCTTCCCCATCCTGGTAGTCACTGCTGTCAGAGTGGCTGTCGGGGACGTTTCCTGACCACGCTCACTGCAGAGATCATCAATGGGGACAGTGTAACCAATCAGTGAGCTGCTTTATCACCAGAATAATAATCATGGGGGAGGGGCTTGAAATGGAACCCTCCCCTAGGTGGCAGTTCTGTTTCCCGTCAATCTAACGCTCCCCAATTTTTACTCCACCATTCTAAATGAAATCGTCGTGACCCAAGAAGAGGGCGGCAGAGGGACCACGACGGCGGTACGGGGGGAACGCCACTCACCTGCAGCAGTTATTGTTCCCGCACATGAGCACCTCCCGCCCGCCGCAGCAGATGGTGCAGTAGGACTGGTAGCCGTCATCGTCATACTGGTACGCGCACTCCAGAAAGCAGTTCTGCAAGACAGGAAGAGGAGGTGTAATGGCGGACAGGACGTGAGTGGCTATTGGCCGGTGCGGGGAGGAAGAGGCGGAGGACGGAGCGCCCCGTGGTAGGTATTCTCCTGCAGAGGCGCCCCAAATTAACCCCTTCAAGACCATTGTGTTTAGACCCCCTTCCCATCCAGGCCATGTTTCAGTATTCAGCGCTGCGGTACTTTGACTGACGTTTATTCCGTCATGCAGCTCTGTACTGAAATGAATTTTATACCATTTTTTGGGGACAGATAGAGCTTTATTTTGGTGGTATTTAATCACCACTGGGGGGCGGGCGGGGTTTTTTTTCTATTATAATTAGGAAAAATTACTGAACATTTTGAAAAAAAAACAACTTTTTTTTAACATTATGTTAGGAAACATTTATTATTACCCAGTTTTTTGGTAAAATATAAAAGTCGGGGTCACGTCGGTTAAATAGACACCAGACATGTCAAGCTTTAAAATTGCGCGCACCCGCGACATAGCAGAAAAAAAACCACCATAGCCAAAATTTACCATAGGCGGCGCTTTAAAAGATTTTACCGCTCGTCAGTTTCGTGGCCGAGAATTATTGCTCTCACTGCGACATGTAAAAAAAATTTTGTGGGTTTTTTTTTGTTTTGTGTGTGTAAAGTTTTTTTTTTTTACTTTTTTTTTACACTTAACTTTATTGTTATCACATAGGGGGCTAAGAAGTCCCCCTATGTGATAACAAATTACAGTGACAGGTCCTGTCACTGCCAAAATTAGACATAGGCGACGCTTTAAACGTTTTTACCGCTCATCAGTTTAGTGTTATCAGTAATTGATGGCCCTAAAATGATTGCTCTCACTGCGACGTTCGCGGCGATATGTAACATGTGCGGCGTAATGGGCGCAATCGTCTTTTTTGCACGTATGCGCCCCTGACGCATGTATGCATGCGTGTATGTATGGGTGGGGACTTAAAAATGTTTTTGTTTTTTTAATTCTTTTTTATGTGTTACTTAAAATTTTTTGGGGGGGACTTTAACTTTTTTTTCACTAAACTTTATTGCTATCACATACTGGGGCTAATAAACCCCCCCCCCCCTATGTGATAGCAAAATATGTGACAGGTCCTCTTTATGGAGACATCAGGGGTCTCCAAGACCCCTAATGCCACCTAGGACCCCCCAAAAGAAGCTGAGGAAGCCGAGATCTGCTCCATCAGCTTCTCTGCAGCGTCTGAAGCTGGAGAGTGACACAAGAATGCGGAAGTGATGTAATATACAACACTTCCGCATTCTGACAGCGGAGAGGGTACCGGAGGAAGCTCGAGTTTTTAAATTGCGGCCATTTCCCGCTCGCGCGCGCAGGGGGGCGTGTCTGAGCGGACACCTCTGTCATTGTCCTTAGTGGTGAGACAAGTTGTTTTACATGCTGGTTTGTGAGTGTGCCATGATGCCTTTCTACTGTTTTACGTCGGGTAAAAAGACACCCAAACATGTCAAGCCCTAAAATTGCGTGCGTGCGCGAAACCTCAAAAAAACGATAATACCCAAAATTGGCCATAGGCGACGCTTTAAAAGCTGTTACCGCTCATCAGTTTAGTGTTATCAGTGATTGATGGCCCTAAAATTATTTCTCTCACTCCAACGTTCGCGGCAATATGTAACATGTG